AAGCGCAAGGTCGTGAGTTCGGTTCCCGGTACCGGAAAAAAACCAAAAAAAAAAAAAAAAAAAGGGAATGAACATATATACAGTACTGATTAAAGTAATTAGCTTTAAAAGAAAGGCAATATAAACCACAAAGTCCAGAACAGGATTACTTCTGGGTGGAGGAAAGCAAGTGGCACAGGCAGGGGTAAGAATGAGACCAAGAGAGCTGGCAGGGCTCCCCTCGGCTTGGTGTGGAGCTCATCTGCTGAGCGTTAGCATCTGCAACAGACAGGTGCTGAGCACACGGTGAAGCATGACTAACTCGGCCGCTGCGGTGAGAAATCCTGGGTCCTCAGCATGGAGACCTGCAAGGGACCCAGACCTTCAGAAATCAGAGATGCTGCAGGGAAAGAAAGGTGCCGAAGCTTCCGGGATGCCAGAACACCCGGGTGAGGTCTAAGCGGGCGCATATGGAGCCAGGGCTCTTCACTGCCTTTTCCCCAGCATCAGGATACAGCCCGGTAATCATTGTCAAAAGAATATTTGAAAGATGAAAGAACAATTTTGCTTCAAAATGACAGTTTAAAATCTTTCAAATAAAGATTGCTTTGGCTTAAAAGAGAGAGTAGAAAAAAGATGGTCAAGAATAGAACAAGTGACACATTATTTCAAGGATGGGCAAAAAAGCCTCCAGGATGACTGACAAAGAAAAGATACTATTTGACACTTGTTATGCCATGCACTGAGCTCAGCACCCTTCCCTCAAAACCTACCATTATATACATCTACAGGACAGTACACGTATCCCCAAGTATGTAAACATATACATTTACTTTGTTTCCTTTTACCTAATCATTTAGAAAATAAGTTGCAGGCATTATGACGCTTTCATTCTTTAATACTTGCACACACACCTCTGAGTATTAATAACCACACTATTAATATTCCTAGAAGGATCAGTATTAGTTCAGTAATATCACCTACTCTACAGAATGTGTTCTGATTTACACAACCTTCCCCACAACAATTTCTATACCTACTCTCCACAAACAACAAATCCTAACTCACTCATTTCCCTTTGGCCTTTCTAAATCTAGGCTTGCCCCCTCCGCTCTCACCTTGTTAGTTCCTCATGACACTGATCTCGTTTAAGTCTCGTCTGACTGTTTTCTGAATCTGATCGTTCTAAAACAGCGCTGCGCAAATATGCTGTGTACACCTGACCGCATCATAGCAGGGGCACAAAATATCCCATTATCCCGTTTTTGGTAACTTTGACCATTCAGTGACCACCAGAAATAACCACCCAAGAGGAAAGATTTTTATCCTTACCCTACCAGATAGGAGGGTCTGTGTTCAACTGGAAGGCCCAGTTCACCCACAAATGCTCACCCGAGGGCTCTGAGCAGCCACTGCAGACTGCTGCCTGAGTGAGATGCTACCCTAAAGTCACAAGACTGTGACTTCCTAAGTCTGTTATCCCTTCTGCCTTTACCAGCTGGCAGGCTTCCGGAAGAACAGTTTTCCCATCGTTCCTTTTCACAATCGGAATCTTTAATATCACCATAAACTCCTGAATTTGTTCCCTGATACTTTTCACTATCAATGCTGTTCTTGTGGAAGCCCAACTGGGCCACGTTTGGAAGAACCTTAAATTAGCTCCCTCATCCTTTCTCACCATTTCTCTTTTGGTCTCAACATTTCCTTGCTTTTTACCCACAGATGTCTCACCTTACCCTACACTTTCCCACGCCTGACTGGAAATCAGCTGTTTGTCTAAAAAGTCCTCGTTCCTTTTAGTGGACAATGACACTTAGAAACAAGATCAGCTCATTGATAATGGGGTATCACTACTTCTCCATGGGCAGAGGGTTCCTCCTTTTGTCAAGTAAGGATGGAAAAGGTTTACACTGCAAGCCCTTTTGAGTATCAAGTTTTGGTGATGGGATATTATGGCTTCTGAACCTACAGATTTTTTTTACCCCCTTACAAGTTAAGATGGACTCTGAGCAAGTTCATATCTTAAAAGGAAGTAGCCTTTAGACATAAATCAATACCAAAAATACAAAACAGAAAAGCAGTAATGTCAGGAGAAAGATCAGAAAGAAACAAATGTAGGGCAAACCCACCTCACCTGCAACACACATTAAATCATGGAGAAAAATAAAGTTGGTCCTGGGCAGTTTCACAGGGGCCAAAGAAGTCATGAGCGTGGAATCATAGTGACAGATACAAACAAAAATGTGTGCTGTTACCAGAAACTTTTACACACAGGTATTATATCTGGAGCAACAGTATAATGACAACTAATTGCTCCCCTGGTGCATGATAAAGCATGTGACTGTTTCCTTGAAGTATTGATCGCATTGAAATTTCCTGGGAAGGTAAAATAACCACAAATGGAACGGTCTAAAAAGGACATGTGCATTCAATAACAGATCTCAATTTGTAAGCTGTAAACAAACATCTTTGATTTCACTGTACCCTGGGCACCACCTTTGAGAGGCATAAAAATTCATCTTTCACATGTAATAAGTTCTACTAATTTTGCAAAAAATAGAGTTGCTCCACTGTAGCACACTGCGTTTAGTAAAACAGAAATTCATTTAAAATTGCTCAGTCTCCAAGTAATAGTCACAATATAGTTTATGAAAATCAAAAATTACTGACCCTTCCAGTAGGGATCAATACACAGCACAAGAAGTAAATATAAAAAACTCTGCATTAAAAGTACATGGGAATCACTTCTGCACAATATTTCCACTCCCATGGAAAGTCTAGCATTTTGTTTGTTTGTTTGGCTACCTAAGCCTGAATCTTAAACTAACACAATGGTTACTATTTAATTCAGGAGTGCAACAGAAATCTGGTCTTCACTTCTAAAGCAAAGGGATAGCCATTAGTGGTTTAAGTACCGCTTATCAAACTGAGGAATGCAAACACCATCTCAGTGAGGCAGAGGTCGGAGATTCATTTCCTTGCCTGGCCCCGGGGAATAAAGCCCCAAATTCCCAAGTAACGCTGCAAAAGAACAGGCTGGGGGAAAAACACTGAGAATCCAGGCAGATCAACTTAGTTTCAGAGACAAACAGCAAATTGGTTCCCAAAATTCTGAAGGCAGAAGCTACTCAGAGCTTTTTGCCATTCTCACAGGCTACATGGACTGCTGAGTAAGAGCACGGAACACTGGATTTTACTCATAGCCTTCGCCGCTGAGAACCACTTCCTGTGGTCATCATAAGCAATGCTCCCCTCTCACCTCCTCCTCCAGGGAAAGTGCCACTGGGCCACACACCCAAGGAGGCTCAGAGAGCACTGTGCAAAGGGTCTCCGGTGCCTACCACAGCACTGTGTGAACAAACACGAGAAGGGAAGATGTGTGGGAGCCTGACTCCTGCGAGGTCTGGAGACTGAGAGCCCCGGAGGCATCTGCTGATTGTTGAAAACTGAGTTGCTCCCTGTACCCTAATGTTCCCCTGAGTTACAGGAAACAGAAACCTACAAGGTATCTTCTACCCTCTCATTTTAGAGATGGAACGGACACCCAAAGGCATTTAGCGTCTATCACAATACTACAGCTGTGAAGAATATGAATCATACTTCTAACGAAGCTCACTGCATCAGACATGTACGCTTTTAATCACTGCGTTGCACTGTCTGCCCACGATGCCAATACAGCGGTAAATAAAGCCCACTTCACACTCTTAGACCTTCACATATAGACTCCTTATTACTGGCGAAGTATTCAAAATACAGTTAAGGTGTGACACCCATAAGAGAGAGAAACTCTCTTTCGGTATCAGAATGTGTCAAATACACGTATTTTTTAAGGTGCTACTCCAGTGGTTCTCAACTTGAGAGCATTTGGAAATGTCTGAAGACAACCATGGAGTGCTACTGGCACCTAGTGGACAGAGGCCAGGGATGCTGCTAAACAAGCAACAGCACAATCAGCCCACCTGAAAGGAAGTGCAGGCAGAAATAGTGTCAACAGTGCCAAGGAGGAGAAACCGTTCCAAAGATTACAGGTGAAAATTTACCGAGTTCCACCCTGACCCGCCAAATGTAGTTCCTGTGCAGAGGCTGGCAGAGCATGGCCGTCTTCCCCCCGCTCCAAAATGGAGCATTCAGGGAACTTCAGGACCATGCTTCGGAGGGCAGAGGCACCTGTGCCACACCCTGCGCCCCACTAACGTCTCCAGGATCCACTTGCATCATCACAAAATGGTGAAAACAGTTTCTGGACGAGCTGGATATGCCGGACTTGCACTTCGCTGCAAGTTCTGTTAAAAATGTTTTCAGGGAAGTGGTTAGGTTTCTAGGGAAGTGGTTAGACAGCTGTGAATATACCAGGCTGTTATCTGTACTAGTGCACTCTCAAAACACAGGCATACTAACACTACTGTATAAAATGACTTTGGGGTTATGTGTATAAGGTATACATAAAATATAAATGAATTTGTGTTTACACTGTGTTTCATCCCAAAGACACCTTGTTATGAATATGCAAGTACTACAAAATTTAAAAAATCCAAAATGTGATATACTTCTGGTCCACAACATGCAGATAATAGATGAACCAAACTGTATTAGGCACATTTGATTCAAAATTTAACGAATAAATGGAGGGGCTAAAAGTCCATCCCCACTCTACCCCACCCCTCACTCCTACTTCTCTCCACAGGGTGAGCAATGCACTGATGAGTGTATCACCCCCCACCAGCACATGCTCAGTATGGCTCCACATCACACACATTATTTTTCTATAGAGCACTTAATCTCTTTTGTTTCTAAAAAGAATTTCATGATATTTTAGAAATATCCCACATAAGTGTAAAGTTATCACTGTCACCTGTTTTCAGCAGGTTTCTACAAAAATATCTATTTACATGCCCATGAAACAAGAAGTTGGGATGATCATGATAAAATCTGTAAGGAACTAAGGAACAAACTCTAAGAAAGAAATATGATTTCAGGCCCACCTACAAGATAACTTTTTCCTCTGCGTGAAGTTCTAACCAGAGGAAAAAGAAAATCAAGTGTTTCATCCACTGTGTACTAGGCCAAGTTTGGGGAGGGTCCCCCACACTACTCTGAGTGAGCCTTGGGTCAGTGTGCACGTCAAACTTCAGACTTAAAGAATCTCGCTGTTCGTTTTTGCAGACCAATTGTGTGCATATTAAAGCTCAAGCAGTGCTGGTTTAAAGAATTCAGAACAACAACAGCCTAAACCAAGGCAAAACCAAATCCAACCAGCAAGTGGCCAAATTTATCTTCTCCTATCAGACAGAGTTGGCTAAGCCTTGAAGAATAAGTAGAATAAAACAATCGCAAATGTAGATGTTGAAGTATTTTACAATTATACAAGCTGAATTTTAAAAGTAAGTATGAAACTACTTCTCCAATAAAAGTCAGATGCTTATTTAATTTAATTCTTTATTGTTCTCCCATAACAGAATCCTTAAAGACAAAATACTCTGGCCGCTCAGAGACAATAAGCGCTCACTGGGAAAAACTACTTCACTGAAAAAAAAAACCTCACCGTAAGAAAAGACAGAAAATTAAAAGGTAATTGAAGAAGTCCTTCAAGCATTATCAAGAGCTTTATTAATTTCATCTCAAAATGCTATAAAGAGGTAGTCTAGAGAATTGTGTACATAAGTAGGATGGTAGAAGGGGACCCTACGTAAGAGAGAAACAGGTCAGTCAATAAAAATACACATAAAGCAAGAGTTGAGCTGACAAGCACCTTTTTGTTAAGATGAATGCACTTCTGGAATAAACACTTCAGGTAGGTTTGTATCCACTAAATTCTGTCGAAAGAGAGGCCCCTGGTGTTACATGCGCTCTACCATGAAAACACAGCGCGGCACAACCCTCTGGCCTTATGCCGCACTGAGAACAAGTGTGCTCACTAGCTAGATCGGAGTAAAATCTTGGCACCAGCACTCTCTCTAGCTGGGGGCGGGGAGAGAGCGAGGGAAGCGGTCTACAGGATGCTCCTATGACACCTGTCTTTGGGTCTCACAAATCCTATCCTGCCATATTATTATGTTACCAAAGCCTCCAAAGTGACAGCAGGTACAGGCTAAGGCTTCTTGTGCCGTTCACTCACTCTTGTTTACCTAAACTCTTCTTTACCTAAACACTCATTTTTGTCTACCAAAAATGTCATGAATGAAGAAGTTCCACCTAAGAAAACTGGAACACTTACCCTGCTGGGCATACCTTCTTAGGAAGTCTAGGCACACAGAGAAATGTTTCCTAAATATAATCCTGGGTATTTAGGGAACATGTTTTGCATTCATAAAGCCTCAAGGTTAACATAATGACCACTTTCACTACAAAAATTCAGTGATAATGTCAGAAATAACTATCATGGGCAAAACCCCAAAACAGTGGCTCACCAAAGGGTCCACTTTTCTGTTTCTCAGTTGATGATCATCACCTAGTCCTTTTCATCTTTTACCATTTCTTCTGCTGCCCCTCTTTCCTCATTGATGGGCTGGGGTAAGCTGGTAAGGAGCAGTGAATTAACTGAGATCTTGGGGAACAAGGGAGAGTCCACAGGCCACACCAAAAGAAACTGTTTTCATTCTTATCTGAGCCTTAAAAGAGCTTCACTGTCACAAATTTCTCAACTGAGCATAGTTCTGCTCTCTCCTGTAGAAGAGGCCATGCACACTGACACAAAAGAACTCATAGGACACAATGCATTCACAAGTGCTTACTAACACCCTTGCTATAAAAACTTTAATATTTAAGAACTGAAAAATTACTACTACCTAGGCATAGGGGCACATGCCTGTAATCCCAGGGTTTGGGAGGCAGAGGCAAGAGGACTGCAAGCTGAAGGCCAGCCTAGACTACAGAGTAAGATCCTGTATGAAAGAGAGAAGCGGGGGAGGGAGGAAGGGAGGGAAGGAAGGAAGGAAGGAAGGAAGAAAGAAAAGGGGAGAGGAAGGAAGAGAGAAGGGGACAGAAGGGGAGGGGGGGAGGGAGGAGGGGAGGGGAGGGGGGAGGGGAGGGTGCCCCTCCCCCTAAAAAGGTGGTCCCAGCTACCCCAGAAAAAGAATTCACATAGGCTTCTACAATGAAAGAAATTGTGTCTCTCATGAAATCATTTCTGGGAAGTCCTCTGTATCATGAAGTGCCTTCTGTAATATTTTTAAAAGAAAAAGGATTTGGCTACCATGAAATCATTTCTAGGAAATTCTTCACAATTTTAACTTTATAATCACATACGATGAATGATCAAAATACAATGAATGTTTACATTATTTTTTAAATGTATTACAGTAAAAAACACATTGCCATTCATTGCTCTCAAAATACCCTCACTTCAAACACACTTACCCCCTCATCCTTGCCACTTTCTGAAAGAAGTTTCAAAGACCTCTTTCATATCTTTAGGTGAGCTGTCATAGCTGCCTCGATGTCCTGACCTGATTCAAAACATTTACTCCCACAGTCACTTTGCCTTGGGGGTAGAGCCAGAGGCACCTGAAGTCAGGTTCCGTGAATAAGGCCGAGAAGCACACTGTAAGGTTTTTCCAAGCCTGCCTTTACACTGGGGTTATGTGGCAGAGCACTTGTGGTATTTTTTTTTAGTTGTACCTTATAAAGATACTCAGGAGAAAGAGCTTCCGGAATATATTCAGAAAGTGCCAAAAACAATGGGACAAGTGTGTCTGAAGCAAGGGGAAGTATTTTAAGGGTGGGTAATGGCAATGTATCTTTTACTGTTATAATTGTTATTAATTTAAATATTCATCATATATTTTGATCACATCTTATTCTATACAGTTTATATTTCTTTTCTTCAAAACAACATCTGCATTTTTTATTTTTTAATTTAGTCTAAATGAATCCTGCAAATATTGATTCTTCCCTGGAGTACTCTATGTACCACTGTGACTGGGGACTGTGTCCCCAGCACTGGGACTCCCAGACATAGACGTAGGTAAAAGTTGCGTTTTCTCAACCTCTGTGAGACTAGCTTCTACACAAAAATGCGTCCAACTGTCAGGGGATAAGTTATTACTGGAAAAAAGAACCTTTGTCAGAGTGATGAGAAAGGCAAATGTGCTCCTCGTTACTTGTCATCGAGAACAGCAGCTGCACTTCAGATGCAGACTGTCCCCCGCAGCCCACACGGCAAGGCTTGGCCCCCACACTGGTACTACTGGCAGGTGATGGAACCTGTAAGAGGTAGGGCATGGCGGGAACTCTTTAGGTCACTGAGAGGAGGGCGGGTGAGCCCCAAATGTCCTCCTTTTCTGTACTCACAACACGATCCCACCATGATGTGCTACTCTGCCAGAGGCCTACAGCAACAGCGACAACCAATCATGAGTTGGAACTTTCAAAGTTGTGAGCCAAAATAACCCTTTTCTCTTTACAAGGTAATTTAAGACATTTGGTTATAATAGCAGAAACCTCATTAACAGATTATGAAGCAAGGTCATATGTAGGAAGCCCATAGAAAAAGCATATCCATTATACCCAGGGTCAAGCACCTTTAAGAAAAGCTGACAGCTACAAAGGCATCGGATCTGTGTTCTATACAAATTAAACTCTGTACAAAGATCCAAGGTGAAAGAAATCCTAAAAGGAGGCAAAAGCATCCAGAACTCATTGCTGGGAGTGGAGGGTGCAGATCAGACCAAGATGGGTTTGCTGCAACTCAAGCTTATGGAGTCAGGACATTACCCGGAGGGCAGGGACAAACCACTAAAGGCCTTTGAGCAGATACTGCCATTATTCACGTAGAAAATGAGAAGCAAACATTTGTACTGAGCATCAAATAACTTTTTGAATAAATTACAACCTTCCCTCTGTCATAAATTACAAATTGCGCTGCTATGAACATGGGTGCACACATATCACTGTGATATGTTTTCAGAACCAGATTAACCAGCATTTTAAAATGCTGACATATTTTACATTTTTTTCAGACTAAGCAAAATCCAGTGTGCATTTCATATTTACAGCATATCTCAATCTGGATTGGCTACGTTTCAAGTGCTTAATAGCCAAATATGGTAGCCAATGTAGACCTAGGCTACAGCCTAGGAAACATTTTTTAAAATTTTTACCATGTTTGTCTTTATTTTCTAAATTATAAAATAATGCAATCACTTTTTGAATGGTTAAGGAAAAAAAAAAAAAAACACAGAAAAGCTCAGATTTGAAAAGGTACCCATAATCCTATATTAAAAATACTAGTCAGGGGCTGGGGCTCAGCGGCACAGTGCCTGCCTGGCAAGTGCAAGGTCGTGAGTTCGGTTCCCAGTACCAGGAAAAAAAAAAAAAATACTAGTCAACATTTGGTTGTGTAGTCTTGTTACGATATGGTCTTATGTCTGAAATATATGTACGGCAGACTTTCTAAAAATGTCTCAACAGTTCCTTAATAATGTACTATTTAGATTCATGAATCCATAAAATTTGTTTTTTAAGGAAAAAAAAAAAAAACATGGTGTTGCATGCCTGTAATCCCAGCACTCGAGAGGCTGAGGCAGGGGGAGTGTTGTGAATTTGAGACCAGCCTGGGCTACAAAGTGAGCTCAAGGCCAGCCTGAACTGCATAGTGAGATCCTGTCTCAAAAAAAAAAAAACAAAACATATATGTATGCCCAGCCATTTTTATTTTTGAGACAGGGTCTTGCTAAGTCACTGAGTGGCCCAGGCTGGGCTCGAACTTGTAATTCCCCTGCCTCAGCTTCCCAGAGTAATGATATTATAGGCCTGTACCACCATAAGCAGCAAAAAAAAAAAAAAGTACATCTAAGACAAATGGAAGCCTGACATATTACACAAAGAATCACAAATTAAATGAAACACTGATTTTTGTTTTTCCAGTTAGCACTTCTTAAGACTTTATTAAATAAGCATTTCCTAGAACTCTAGAGTTTATAGCAAACCACTGTCATTTTAGAGAAATTCTGGCTTGTGAGTCTGAAGTTCTCACACAGTCCTAGATCTCCAAATTTGCTTTATTCTCATCTGCCTTTTCGGTTCTTCTCTTCCCACTCCCTCCCCACACAAAAAAAAAAAAAAAAAACGGAAAAAGGAAAAAGGAATGAAGCTGGAAGCATGAAAGGAGGAGGGCAGCAGAAGCACTGAACACAGGGCCAAATTGACACGGAGTAAACGCGTCAAGAGCTCAGTGGCTTCACTACATTCACCACCTTTCTCTTCATTACTCAACAAATGACGTGGAGAAGTGAGGCAACTTTGACATAAGGGACCTCTGACTGACTAATCCATACCTCTTTCCAGGCCTTTGCCTTGAGGAGTTACAAGATGCTCAACTCCACCACGCAGCCTCCAGACCCACCCTGTTCGCAGAACACCCTGATCACTCAGCGGATCATCCCTGCGCTCTACTGCGTGGTCTTTATCACCGGGCTCCTGCTCAATGGAGTGTCAGGATGGGTCTTCTTCTACGTGCCCAGCTCCAAGAGCTTCATTGTCTATCTCAAAAACATTGTTGTTGCTGACTTTCTAATGGGCCTGACTTTTCCTTTCAAGATCCTTGGTGATTCGGGCCTAGGCCCCTGGCAGCTGAATGTGTTCGTATGCAGGGTCTCTGCTGTGGTCTTCTACATCAACATGTACGTCAGCATCGTGTTCTTCGGACTCATCAGCTTTGACAGATATTACAAAATTGTAAAGCCCCTTTCGACTTCTTTCATCCAGTCAGTGAACTACAGCAAGCTGCTGTCGGTGGCAGTGTGGATGCTCCTGCTCCTGCTCGCCATCCCCAACATCATCCTGACCAACCAGAGCGTTAGGGAGGTTAGGAAAATACAGTGCATGCAACTTAAAAATGAACTGGGGCGCAAGTGGCACAAAGCATCAAATTATATCTTCGTGGGCATTTTCTGGGCTGTGTTTCTTTTACTAATTATTTTCTACACAGCAATCACAAGGAAAATCTTCAAGTCCCACCTTAAGTCCCAAAGGAATTCTATTTCAGTCAAAAGGAAATCTAGCCGCAATATATTTAGCATCATGTTCGTATTTTTCGTGTGTTTTGTACCGTACCACATTGCCAGAATACCCTACACAAAGAGTCAAACGGAAGCTCATTACAGCTGCCAGTCAAAAGAACTCTTGCTCTATGTGAAAGAATTCACTCTGCTGCTATCTGCTGCAAATGTGTGCCTGGACCCTATTATATATTTCTTTCTATGCCAACCATTTAGAGAAATTTTATGTAAGAAACTGCGTATCTCACAAAAAACTCATGACTTGGACACTTCCAAAACCAGAAGAGGAAATACAATTCATGAAAGCACAGATACTCTGTGAATTTCCACCCACTGCCAAGTAAAGTTCACGTATGCACGCTGTCCGACACCTTCAACTGCATGAGAACTGAATGAACAAATAAGAAACACACCCACGATAGTAACATATCTACCATGTCATCCAATACTAACATGAAATTAATATACTTAGCACAATAAAACTCAAATGCAGGTTCCCATGCTTTTTTGTAGCATCAAATAAAAAAATCCCATTAGATTTTTCTAATGCTGCACTTTTCTTTTTAATAATAAGAAAAATATAATGCATATAATTATTAAATCACACTCCAAAAAGCAGGTTTAAATTTATAAGTTTGTTCAGTTAAAGTAGAACTTAATAAACAGGAAGAAATCAAAGATCATTTACATAGGTTTCCTCTTTCTCAAACACAAGAATTAAATTAGTAAGATGTAAGTTTTTTCAACAGGTCCTTAAAGACCAACTTAAAAGCAGGTGTTGTTTGATAAAGGGCTTTTGTATTGAAAAATCAAGTTTTCTCTTGAAAGAAAGCAGACACCCAGAAATAAGCAGATACCCAGAAAAAAACACTTAAGAAAATACTGATTTTAGGGGCTGGGGATTTATCTCAGCAGCACAGAACCTGCCTGGCAAGCGCAACGTCATGAGTTCGATTCCCAGTACTGGAAAAAAAAAAAAAAAATCCAAAAAAAAAGAAAATACTGATTTACCTCACTGAATTTGAAAGAAAAGCAGACGCAATAAATTATGCATTCTGCAATAAAAATTTAATTTTTAAAGATATTAGGTATATGTTAAATATACCTTCCATGCAGACTTATTAAGGCATTTTATAAGCCTGAAGCTGTCACATTAAAGTATTTTTATTTAAGTGGACTCTACTGAGAGAAGCTGAGTTTCAGCATGTGCTGCCAACAATTTCTCCTGCTCAAAAATATGAGGAGGCAAATAGGATGACTAGGAAAAGCCACACTAGAATATACATTATTCTTTTATGGGGTCAGGGGAGACAGTTTTCTCAAAAACCAAGTGGACTCAAGTTTTAAAAAGATCAAAAATGTAAAATAATGTGTGAAATGACATAAAATTCATGCAACATGCTTTCTGCAGAGGCAATGCATTTCAATACATGGAAATGAAGGATATGGCTGCTGATATATGAGTTAAGAAAACTAATTTCTTTCTTTACTATTGGCTGGCTGGAAGACATTCAGCTAATCTTTCCAGTGTTCTTCCCACACTTTTTTTTTTGAGACAGGGTCTCACTATGTAGTGCAGACTGGCCTTGAACTTGCTTATGTAGCTCAGGCTAGCCTCAAACTTATGACAATCCTCCTGCCTCAGCCTCCCAGAATGCTGAAATTACAAGCATATGCCACCACACCTGGCTTTCCCACACATTTTTAAGTAACATTTATATCTATTTTTATGTTTTACTGTGTATGTACCAATAAAGAAATTATTTTTAAAGATGTCAGCTTTTTTTTTCCTAATATAGTAATCAGTATATGAGACCTTGCCAGACTTCCTTATAATCAATATATGAATGGCTTCTTCAATATGCCCAATTACACACTAATACCAAAAAAAATACAAAAACTCTACTTCCTACCTCAAAACAGTTTCAGCAAAACTCAGTAAACACACCCAACACTGAGGAGAGCCTGGGAAGGTTTTCACACTGGGTAATTACTTTCTGCCCCGCTAACAGCTCCCTGCTCCCAGTGCTGGCTCAAATAAACTATCTCAAACAGAAGAAAAATTCCCAAGCTATGACAGATATCCTGATAAACTAAGCTTGCTATATTTATTTGGCTAAATACACTTGGAAACAAATTGGATTGTGTTTATTCTCTACATCTCTCGCTGGCTACAGCAAATAAGCACATCGTTAGGTTTTAATTGCCTCTACTGGGTCACAGGAGAAAGTTTTAAAAAAACAGATGAGTCTTCATGCTCAGGTTACTTGGCTCATCTCCTCGGCTTCTATTCCTCTATTCTCGGCAGTAAGTATTATTAAACCTTTTCTACGTGGGAATCAGTTCTCCCTATAGTACCAGGAAATGCTGCTTGTAAGCTCTGCACCAAAGCAGAACAGTAACATGAAAACACAGTGTTTCAGGAAATGACACGCAATGCAGATGAGGAGATGGCGAAGCAGCAGCTGGGCTGCCCATGAAGCACAGCTGAGAAACAATTCCTGCAAACCAGGCCTTTCGGTTCCACAGCAATAACTAAACAAAATGGCAGGCACTGACAACAACTGAGTAAGCCAGAAACTTCCGAGAGATGACAGGTAGGGAGATACAGGTAGACAGCACAGTATATTTTCCCAGTCCTTTACAGATAAGGCTTAGCACAGATGCTGCAATATTCAGAGTACCCAGCTCAACCTACAGGATGCCTGCAGCGACAGAGAAGGTAATGTAAACGCTGTTTTTAAAAAACAGAAGAAGCTGAGCACACTGAGGGTTTACGCCTCACCAAGAGGTCAACAGGCCCTTAGCTTCAGCCAATAGCTTCTTTGTTCTTACTAGAGATGAAAATTCACAATGTTTGTGTTTCTTTTTGTGGTACTGGAATTGAACCTGGGCCTTCCCAATGAGCTACATCCCAGTCCTACTTTTTCTTTTGGTCTCCCTAAGTTGCCCAGGCTGGGTTCCAACTTGTGATCCTCCTGCCTCAGCCTCCTAGAATGCTAGGATTATACCATCACTACACCTGGCTACAAGAGTTTTTAATTGTTAGACCAGGAGTTAAAACACATCTATGATAGAATATGATATGCTAATAGCTGCACTGCAAAATTGAGAATACAGAAATGTAATAAAAATGTGTTCAAAAGCAGCCTATGCCTACAACCAAAAATCCCCCTTATTAACAATCACGTTTTCTTTAACAGAATTGATGTTCCACTTCAATGCACACTTGATTCACTACCTATACAAAAAAGTTTCAAAATGTTTGTGTAAAAGGACTATCTGGGGCAAAAAGAATCAAGAAACAGATCACAGAAATATCACAATCATGGAAAACACATCCATACGACACCCATCCACGGAAGTGGGTAAACCATGCACAGCAGCATTTTACAAAATGTAGTCACTGACAGTGCTCATCTGCTGAGTTATGTGCGCAACCTGTATCATCTTTTCTCAGCAATAGGGTTCACGCTTCCTTGGGAAAAGTCACTTTTCCGTGTTCTGGCCATAGAACTGATACAAATCTGACTTAGGGTTAGGTAATCAGCATGTCTGAATCACTGACCAAAGACTGGGAAAGAATGTCATCCAATCTGACCAAATGAGAGCAAGTCCCAGGTTCCTCAAGAAATTTTCTGGAAGGAGTAGTATGAGGATGCAAATCTAGAAGTGTTTCTTTCATTCAAATACCATAAGAAAATCTAGAGCGTGCTAGTTTCTAGTTGAAACTAGCACCACAAAAGGCAGACTGAAGAAATGGTACAAACCCAGGCCTAGTCCCAGAGCTGAGAGTCTGCAACAGCCCCCCCGCAAAGCCACAGCCACAGCTGTGGATGTCCGGGTGTGCTGGCCAGTAACCATCTTATTGCATATGCTCAATTTTAGTTCTGGATAAAAGAGAAAAAAAGATATCTATACAAAAAAATTAATTCTGTGTAACATCAAAAGACAGTATTATACAAAGCACAACCAGAGGAACGACAGGGGGCTATCTTTCGGCTGAGCAGCACTGTGGGGAGCACGGGAGAAAACACGTACTGTGTTGTCATCAACAGAAAGAAAAAACACTTCTTCTTTTTGGTCACTTGTTCTCTACAAAACTCAACCGTGGACAGAGTGCCATCTATGACAGGGCGTCCCTGCAAATGAACCGCTTTAACAGTTCCCACTTAAACTTCCTGCCCCATGTGCCACCTTTCAAAATGCTATTAGTACTTCATAGCACTACTTGTAAAAAAGTATTAAATGTTTTACTAACTTATCTATAGTAAATATGTACCAGAAATATTATTTCTAAACTAATTACAGAAAAGAAATAAATTATTACACAAATAAGGCACTTATCAAAGCCTTTTTGGGGGTTACAGGGAATATAATTCATGTTCCTACCTCCCAACCTCCACCTGAAGCTGGGATATGAGAAAGGAGTAGGGTTAGAAGAACAGGCCCAACAAAATTAACAACAAAATACGGGCCAAGCATGCTCACTGGCAAACCAGGGAACTACCCATTACACTGTTATACCCTGTGTAGGCTAAGGCTGGTGACACAGGTAGGCTGATAACAGAACAAAGTTACCCTCTTGGTCTACTGCAGGCCTTCATAGCACTTGAGGTACTGTGTGAGAAGTGGGGCAAGGTGACTTGGGAAAGGTCATCTTAACCGTCACTGCGACTATGGGAGAAGCCACAGACTCACACACCACCCACTCCACACCACAGCACCCTGCGGGGATTCCCAACAGCGCATCTCCTCCCAAATAATTACAGACCTTCTCTGACTCTCCCTGAGAAAACCGTAATCATTCCGTAAGTGGCTTCTTCTATTTTTCTCTCTTAACCCAACAGGCCCCAATGCTGCCAAATTCACCTAATTCTGAGGTGACAGTTCTTTCCCTGCGCAGCCCTTGGAAGGTCTCTACTGCTTGCTCACTGCAGCCCTTAGGAGCACCCAAGACTTGGATCTCAGTCTTTCCTTGCATAGACTGTACTCAGACAACGCCAATCCCCAGGTTGCCTAATAATCCCCAACACACTCTCTGTACTCTGCACATCTATATTGTCCCCCACATGCCGCCTGTTGGCTCTATCTACAAAGCATCCTCTGGCCCTGCCTCACTAAAAAGGATCAAACTTCCTGGATTCCCATAGGTTTTAAGAGCATGAAATAAATCTGTATCATTGCAGTTTGCGGCATAGGATTCCACATCACCCTTCTACAACATGCTCTTCAAAAGATAACAAAAATAATCTCTAGAACAAGAGCTCAGGAGGCAGCCTGAATCAGTAAATACTAGCTATTAGAATTCTGGATATATACTTGATCAAAAAGAAAGAGTTACACAGCAAGGCAAAGGGAGAATCTCTCCCAAGAACCACCTCTTGGAAAGTAACTACAGAGTTTACAAAATGTGCCTGTGCTTTGAAAATATGTGAGTCACAATAAGCTCATCACTAAGGAACACAAACAGAAAGGGAAAAATAATATTAATTTCAGTGACTAAAAAAGAAACAAGATAGCCTTTGAACATTCTAAGGGATTCCCTGCCGCCACTATGAATTTATTTTAGGGCTCTAATAGCACAGCCACAACTCACAACTGAAAAATAACACGAAAAGCATATGAACCCTGCAACACTACAGTCAACTAAAAGCAAACCAAGAGGACTGGCAAAGGAAAGAACTCGGCAGTGGCAGAGGAGAAAATATTTGGCCAATATTCTAACTGTTGCAAAAATGTGCAACAACTTTTAGCTTCAAAGAATTTCAAAAATTGTACTATGCTCTTAACGAGGTAAAACTTTCTCTTGAGCTCTTGTTCTAGACAGAAACAGCAATATCTTGGAAGTTGAACGTCAACACCTTAATTCAAAACGACTCTGCTTTGTCACAGGAAGCCAGCAGCAGGGAAAAGTCTTTGGGCTAATCCCCAGGAAGGAAATTATGCACTTAAAACACCTTTCCAAATGCAAATCTAAGCACAGTGGTTCCAAAGAGAGGCCTGACTTTGAGACACACAGGTAGCTGCGAAAGTGAATGATGATAAAAGTCTTCAAGATGTAAAACAGTCTGAGCTGAGAGCATCCTGAGTTCTCATTTCAGAGGCTGCAAAGTCCATGGAGAAGGTGGAAACAGTGGCACACTGTCCAACAGAATTCGAACAGTTCAAGTGAATGAGGAGACCTGCACTGATGCGATGGCCTCCTTCATAACCAATGTCCCTGTCCAACAATTAAGTTGCAAAAAGAGCTGGCCCACATGCTGTGCTTGGTGGTGCACACCTGTAATTTATAAATAAATCAAGCAAGCAAGCAGAGCTGAGCCCTGGGTTCAATATCAGTAAGACCACCACCACCCCCAGCACCACCAAAAAAAAAAAAAAAGTGGACACACTAAATTTTATCTGCATAGTACTATGCAGGCCTTACTTTTTCCGTATTTCAGTTTTCCTATTGTAAATGATAAAAACTTCTATACCACAGGGTTTATGCTTTTAGTTTCTATAAAAAGAAGTTCTCAAATCCATGCCTGGCTGTGGTTCTACTCATTCATAGCACTTAATTTCCCCTTCCTCATCAATTTCCAAGCCTTTTCCATGCTATGCCTAAAAAACAAATTTTAAGAATGTTAAGTATTAAGGGCTAATTCTGCTCCTGAATAAACTCAAAAGTATGACATGTATGCACTGCAGAGCTGACTACAAAAGCATTTTCTTTCTCAACTCATAACCTCCATGATAATTTATCACTGCACATGCATAAAATATTTATCAAAGTAACTACTACATCATTTCGTAAAAAGTACTGTCACGAAGAAGGTTACAGGGAAATAACATTATCTCACTTCTTCCCACTGGGTTTCTTAGATATTGGGTTAGTGATGATGTGCGATTTCCTGGAACGCTAACAAAATACGCTCTGAGAAACATTCATCCTCAGTGAAACAGATGAAAAAATGGCTTGTGGAAATTCAGATGGAACTTGTGTATTATATATATTACTAAAGACATTAAGGGAAAAATGTATTTCTAATATGAATAAACTTCCACACATGCCAAACTACTTAAGCTCATTCTCAAAAGGAAGAATACAATTCAGTTTCACTATTGAAAGATCATTTCCTACTATTTCAGGAAAAAAAGAACACTGAGAACTACAGCACCTTAGCTCTTTCACATCTGCCAATTCAGACACAAACTGTGGTCTTAGCAGACCTTCAAATAGCCCTAAAGAGTAAGCCAGAGCTGTGAATATATAAAATATGCCTCTCCCAAAAAAGAAAAACTTCACCCCAAATCTTTTATCCTGGTTTTTCTTCATATCACATTTAAACCATTCACCAGTCTGCAGCCAACTCCACTTCCAAATTCCCTCATCACCACTACCCTGCCCCAGGAAGGGAAACCCTGACCACAATTGCCCATTTACTTGGCTACAAACCTGTATTTTCTACAACTGTATTCTTCAATAACTCCTGTCCATAACAAAACACATGTAACTGAAAAGATGGAAGACTTCCTAGCGTTGTTACAATGGAAGTTAACACTAGAGTCCATAACCAAGCAAAGGCAAAGCTTATGCATGTAATAATAACTACATGAACTTAGAGAATGTCAGAATATCTGAAATCAATGGCCTTACCATTTTTTATTAAAAATTCCTTTAACTTTCCTTAAATTTCCTTTAGCTAGACATTGCTCATTTAGTCTTTTGAGAACTTTTGATAAAAGCTAATACCAAGGAATTTGCTTCAGATTCTAAAGAGGTCTCTTCTGCTGTTTTAGTGCCTAGAAAACTGAAAAACACCTATCATGCCAGTGAAGCATTAGAAGAAATCAGGCCCTAAACAAATACTAACAGCTTTGTACTACAATCAATTTTGGACCAGCATGTTTAGAACTCCAGAAAATAGGCTCATGTCAGAAATTAATTTTCTCTTTTACAAAGAGAAAGACATTAAGAAAACCAATGAGTCTTTCTTCCAGTGAACTTGTTTGGCCCCTTTGCCAAAGATAAGGTGGCTGAGAGAAATGCAAATCAAAACAACACTGAGATTCCATCTCACCCCGGAGAGAATGGCTATCATTAAGAAATCAACCAATAACAAATGCTGGAGAGGCTGTGGGGAGAAAGGAACCCTCCTCCACTGTCGGTGGGAGTGTAAACTGGTGCAACCACTGTGAAAATCAGTCTGGAGATTCCTCAGTAAACTAGAACTAGAGGTCCATTCAACCCAGCTATTTCCCTTCTGGGTTTTTTTCCAGAAGAACTGAAAACATTGTATCACAGCAATATACGTGCACCCATGTTTATAGCAACGCAATTTGTAATAGCTGAATCATGGAAGCAACCCAAATGTCCATCAACCCAGGAATGGATAAAAAAGTTGTGGTACTTTTATATAATGAAATATTACTCAGCAGCTGTAAAGAAAGATAAACTTGAGGCTTTTATAGATAAATGGACACAACTAGAGACCATACTCATAAGCGAAATAAATCAGAACTGCATGTGTAAACACCATATTGTCTCACTAGTGTAAGAACCTGAGTGAATAAAATGTAGGAGGTAGAATAGATATTGTGAAGGGAAGGAAACTGCTCAAAAGGAAAGAACAACTGGGATGCGGGAAAACAGAAAAGAAAGAAAGAAGGGAAAATATGTATATATGTATACACAGGATAGATAAGATAGTTGTACTACTGATTTCTATTGCTTTATTGAAAGGAACAGTTCATGTTTAATTGTTCGATCAATCTTACATGCCTGTATTTGTTTATCTGACTAACCAATATGAAGATATCAATATGTCATCCAATAACCACTGTTAATTTCCTATCACCTTGTCTGAAATTCTGTATTGCTTGTATTTTTGTGTTTTATTTTGCATATCTGTTAATATATGTTCCTTCTTCTATCTTTCAAATAAAAAAAAAAGCCAATGGATGATATGTATGAGATTACTTTTTAAGAGGTAGCAACTTTTTATCAAGTTTCCCTAAGCACCTTTCAGACATTCAGTTAACATTTCTCACTCATAGGCAGAATGAAATTCAGCCAAACAATTTAAAGTACACAAGAGGGTCCCTTAACATATACTCTATTAATCACTATATACCAATCTCAATTCATTAACCACTTACCAGTCCAATTATTCAAATACAAAATGACAGAATAGTGCATATTTTTCCTTACTTTTATAATATAACAGGAAATTTAACAGCAAAAATTTAATCAAATTTATTCAATACAAGAATTGACTGGTAGAAATGACACCTGCCCAAGTAACACTTGGGATAGTCAGTACCTAAACAAACGTGATGCACAAGTGACCCTCAGGGTGAACTGTTACATAGTTAAACTGTGTGAGTCAAACTGTCAAAACTGCTGCTCTAGTCTTATAACTTGGAGAACACAGATATCATATAATTGAATAAAAACTATAAAATTATATGTATAGTATAATAATATTTTAAGTGGGTATATAAAACATAGAAAAAAATGTAAATGTATAAACCATAAATGTTAAGAGTAATTATCTCTGTGTAATAATGTTCTACTTTTATTTTTATTTCAAGATTTTTCTGTTTTCTGAACAAAAACAATAAAGATCTTAAAAAATGCATACCCTTCACCAGATTCTTTTTTTTTTGTTCACAAGACTTTTATTAAATCTTTTTTTTTGTTTAATTAACAGCTGTCTCTACAAGGATAAAAACTGCAAACGTATCTTTTCATTAATTATAACTATGAAATGCTGGTGAGTATCCCTATGTACACTGAAAACACATTTGCTTAAAACATCTTATATCTCTAACTCATAATCCCTTTCAAGGCATAAACATTGATATTCTTTGAAACTATTAACAAAGATCGTATCTTTGTTAATCGTATCTTGGGTACCTCAAAAAAGAAAAACTAGGTAAAACAACGGACAAATGAAAATCTTTTCTCCAAAAGTTACTGACAAATTTGGACTGCTTAAGTAATTATAATAAGAATTTATTTTAAAAGTTTCATTAGAAGACTTTCATACAGTTAAACTAGTCACAAACCACAGTTTCATCTACGTCAACATGCAACATTTTAAAACCACACAAAAGGAAAAAAAAATTTTAGTACAGCCAGCAGCTCTGCTATGCTGCCACTAATCCGACAGCTCCCGCGTGCTGCAGACGTAGGGCAAGGCCTTGCAGGCTGCAGAAGAAACCCCAGGTATGTCATTTAAAATACTTAATCTATTCCAAATGCTTTTGCACACATGGCAAATTTATTTCCTTTCAATGTTTAAGTAGAGAAAGCCAACATTTAAGAAACTTGCTGTGTAAATAGTCACCAATTATTAAATGGGTGCTAGGCATCAACTACTCTGTAATTTTCTCATATCTGATGACCCCATTCATCTGTCTCAGAGAAACAGCTTAATTCAGACAATACTAAATATCTAGGTAAGCATAATTGTTCAATAATTCAGTTTTATAACTGGGTAGATAAAAGCCAATGTTGTAGTTCTTCACAAGAAGTCTTAAAATACTTTCCTCCACAAATAATGCAACATGTGATTTTGAAAATTTCCATAATGCCTCCCATAGAAAATTTGACGAAGCTTTTCTAAGCAAGTACTGTTTGGTGAGTAAAAAGGCACTTCAGGTCTTCCCTTGATTTTCCTGGAGTACCTCTGAATACATCAAACTCCCACTGGCCCACAATGCTTGGCAAAATATCAAGCACTTAATTCTCAAATTTGTGATTCAAAACGTGGGCTGTTACCATAACCCTAAACGATATCACCATCACCAAGGACTTTTAATTACTTTTCACTGCAATCTTGATAGAATCTCACAAAAACTAATGTAATACACCCATGGTAATCAAGCATTACTGAATGAATAGCTACATTATAATGAAGTTACTCACCTATAGATGTGTAATCAGTTCTATTTATAGAGACTATTCATCAAAATAAAGTATTCTAATTCTTCTCTGTACCATGTAAGTCTTATGAGACTTTACCACATAATTGTGCAAGCAATGGGGCACTTGAAGAAATACATTATGAAATTACTATCATTATGTAAATTTGAAATAAATGAGCTTAAGTCAAAATCCTGTAAAGGAACAGTAAGCAAAGGTGAGAGACAAGATCAGTGTACAATGACATGTTTTTGAAGCAAAGAAAAGCATGCTCAAAATTCCAGGACACAGATAAATGTAAGCATCAAAAATAAGGGTCATGCGGAAGTCAGTGAAGCCTAGAGTAATACAGAGATAAAAGGCCTTCCTTCAGCGGATCAACAAGGACAGATCCTAGTCCTGCTTGAACAAGCTGGACTTGAACAAAATCTTAAGCAACATGCAACTGCAAGACCTCAATTTCCTCAACTTGCGGAGGGATGGGGTAGATAGATGCTACCAGCAAAGGCTCCATCTATTATTCAAGCCCTAAGAGTCCAAAATTTTATCACATATAAAAATACAAAAGCAGGAAGAAAGTATTCACTGACAGTGGAGATCCCACCAATCTAAAGCAGAGAACTGGCATTAAGGATGCCGGAGGTAGCTAGGTGGTAGAACACATGCTTAGTATATGTAAGGCTATGGGTTCAATCCACACAACCAAATAGAGGAAGATTAATAATATGGAAGAACTATGTTACAAGAACTCTGAAATTAAAGTCTAAATTTATACAATATGATGTAAGTTTAACAAGCATAGCAGATACTTGCTCAGAACATAATTCTTATCACAAGTAAGCCCTTGCTATAATATTATCATTATGAGTCATCATTACCTTTGTTGTTGCTGAGACAGTGTTTTGGGGTGATTCTGAAATATGGCTTCAAAGATCAAACTGTGTTGAAATCTTGGTTCTATAAACTTACCAGCTATATAACCTAAGCTTGTTACACCTCAGTTTTCTCATTTGCAAGAGACAAATTATAATAAATATCTCAAAGAAATGATAAAGGGTAAAACAAATACATGTGAAGTAGTCACTGGAAACAAAGTGTTTAACTACAGAATGACATTATTTATGGACCCTAATGCACTAAATCAAGTAGGGGAAAGGTATGTGCCCTCTAAGTGATACTTTAATTTAGAAAGTTATATGTACATCTGCCTTAGTAATCTGCTTGCATATATTCATTCCAAGATTAAATAACTGGAAGAATTAAAAGATTTAGAAAGACTTTAGTGTTTTTAAGAGACTTAATGGTTGATATGGTCTTCTATGTCAGTCACTACAGAAAGGTGTTTGATATGTAAAAAGAGGATCTACACAAAGATACAATGCCAGAATCCCACTGATACACTAGTGGCCCTAGGCGTGTGAGTCTGACTGGAACTTATCCAAGGAAGCCAGATCAGTTTAATTTGAACTTATATATCCATGCAGCTTTCCAGATTTGGAAGGAACATGATGAGATTTTATTGTCATTATCAATGTGGTCTAAGGGAATGTCATAGTTCTGGCCTTTTTACTGTCCCAAAACCCACCATGGAAAAAAAAAAAATACAAATATTAAAGTTAGATGTTTTGACATTAATACTATTGACCCTCTGAGGATTTTATAACCAAGGAATCCATATCCAATCACGTCCTAGGAAGTTTTCAAGTTTACTTTTCACAAAACTATTCTGAAACACTACCATGAAAACATCTGTACCAGTACTGATCAATGCCAATATAATCAAACCACAAAAACAACTGTATTTCCTCTAATAGCTGCATCTTAAAAAGTAACAAGAAACTGGAAAACTAACTTCCTTAAAATACTGAGCTTAATATACCAAAAATAATTTCAACATATGCTTAATATAAAAATATTAGTAAGGTATTATAGTGTACTAATTTTGTGTGATTTACATAAAATAGTACAATTTATACCTTCTGCATGATTCTATGTTTTGTACTAAACCTTTAAAATACAATGTAGATTCTGCATTTATAGGACACATCAACTTAGACTGCTTAAAGTATTTAATAGATGCACATGGCTAGAGGCCATAATATCGGCCATCACAAGTGTACACCATTATGAAACTGGAACAAAAAAAACGGGAGGTAATAAGACCAACTCAAGACCATATTCTAATCCTTCAACTATTTCTGCTAAAAGGAAAAATGAAATAAAATTTTGTTTCTGAAAAATGATCTAGTAGGTCACACAATAAAGAGCCTATTTTTTTTAAATCACATTTTTAATCTTACTACAATCTCCTGCCATCCCTTACTCTCTCCCCTGCCAGACTAGCCTCTTCCAGGATGAGGACCTACATGACTCTTTAAGAAAACCATACAGCCTCACTGAGAGGTGTTCAGGCACAAGAGTAACACTAGTTTCCTGAACCTACCTGTCAGTCTCCACCAAACTGTCTTCCCACCCAACTGCTTAATGAAGAGGTGTCAGAAGGCAAAACCAATAAAGCCAAAATATCCCTTCCAAAAGTAAACTACACGGGACTCCCTGAAAGTCACAATATCAAAGGAAAATCTAGGTTTCCTCATAATTTAGGATGTTCCAACAGTCCACACATCTAGTAATATCAATAAAAATCCATCTAAAAGTGAAAAAGACCATGGTATTCTTAGTCCAAATGCTTTTAAAATAAAGTCTTCAATTTTAAGTACTAATCTCTCCTTTTTTAAAAAAACAGATTTACTGAATTTTTTTTAAAGAACTAAAGTCATCCTTCCTGTCCCTCGAGATGATAAACAGTTCACTGACCTGTCCGGTTTACAGAGATCTGGAACCATTCACATATTTTTTTTACTTACTTTTCCTTGCTGGGATTATTGGAAGCTGTTTTGCAGCCTGGGCTTTTATACAGAGACCTCCGCACCACAGGTGTGTAAGTATATACCTAATTAACCTGCTTATGGCCGATTTCCTGCTCACTCTGGCGTTACCCGTGAAAATTACCGTTGACTTGGGGGTGGCACCATGGAAGCTGAGGATATTCCACTGCCAAGTCACAGCATGCCTTATATACATCAATATGTACTTATCGATTATATTCTTAGCATTTGTCAGCATTGATCGCTGTCTTCAGTTGACACACAGCTACAAGATCTACCGAATACAAGAGCCTGGATTTGCCAAAATGCTTTCAACTGTTGTGTGGCTAATGGTCCTGCTTCTGATGGTCCCAAACATGGCGATTCCCATCAAAGACATCAAGGAAAAGTCAAATGTGGGCTGTATGGAATTTAAAAATGAGTTTGGAAGAAACTGGCATTTGCTGACAAATTTCTTATGTATAGCAATATTTTTAAATTTCTCAGCCATCATTTTAATATCCAACTGCCTTGTAATTCGACAACTCTACAGAAACAAAGATAATGAAAACTATCCAAATGTGAAAAAAGCTCTCACCAACATACTGTTAGTGACTACTGGCTACATCATTTGCTTTGTTCCTTACCACACTGTCCGAATCCCATACACCCTCAGCCAGACAGAAGTCATATCTGACTGCGCGACCAGGATTTCTCTCTTCAAAGCCAAGGAGGCCACCCTGCTCCTGGCTGTGTCAAACCTATGTTTAGACCCTATTCTGTACTACCATCTCTCAAAAGCATTCCGCTTAAAGGTCACTGAGACTTTTGCCTCACCTAAGGAGACTACGGTTCAGAGAGAAAAGTCAAGGTATGAAAATGAGGCATAAAGCACAGGACTTTTCGCGCTCGTTTCTTGCCTTACGGGATCGCAAAGCTTCTTACGGTTTTGGAAGAGAAATAAAGTCTTGATGATGCAAAGTACAGAAAGCCAGCAAATATGGACTGGTTTACACAGAAACCTGTGTCTAAATGCAAACCAATCTTATGTTCTTATGACTGTTGATACTTCTTAACCCAGATATTTGTACAAGAAAGCTGAAAAGTCAAAGGCTGTAATATCTTTAAAATCAAAAAACAGGTTTATAACATAGACTTTAAATGTCTGGAATTGACTTCTTGATAAAAATATGCTAACTAATATCTATGTAACTTGCCAGTAAGCCCTTGAATCACACAACTTTAAAGGCTTTTGGTAAATATTTTGCTTCAATAAATGGTAACCTATCTGTTCACTACCCCTCCAATGTGTAGCACAAAAGCTTTTTTCCTAACACAACAGCTAAAAACTCTTGTTAAGTAAAATGCTCCAAAAATACACAGGTAAATTTGTAGTGTAACTTCCATTCTACCTGTAGATTATAAAGTTCACCTGCCGTGGGTAACGTAAATCTAATGATTTCTTACTTTTATTCTGCACTAATATGAAGTGCACGGCCCTACTACATTTACAAGGAGAGATGTTAAATTATACTAACTAATGAAACTACTGTTTTGGAACTAAAAACTCACACAAAAGCTATGGAAAAACAGCAGCAGCCAAATGATTTTAAAAGAGACCCACGAGACTCAACATAGCAAGGCCATGTAAGAAACACAGCACATGCTGAGCTGAGGTGCCGCTCAGGTCCACAAAGCAGGGCCTGAACCCACAGGGGTTTTGCCATGTAATGTAGATGTGGTTCCAGCTCTTACAACTCTGGTCAAATTCTCTCCACTAGCAGCGACACAAAGTTTCAATATAGGACAAAAATTACAGACTTATTAGGGCGAGGACTAGAAAAGTTAAGCATATGTGAGACTGTTTTTAGTGTCACTAGAAAAAACTTCTAGTGAAATACTTAGTAATACATTTTTTAGCTGCAGTGATTAAGAAATTGTGCTCCTAGAAGCCAGGAAAACACGTTTGATTTCAAACTTAATTTTGGACTTGAAGAATGATTTTTTTTTTTGGAGACACTGTCTTTCTCTGTAGTTCAGGCTGGCCTTGAGCTCACTATGTAGCCCAGGTTGGCCTCAAACTTATAACGACCCTCCTGCCTCAGTATCTCAAGTGCTGGAATTACAGATATGGGCCACTACACCTGCCTAAGAATTATTTTCTGAAGCTTGAAATTTTTGTCCATAATTTCACACAGGTATTCTCTGAGTGTGAAGTGAATAGTAAATTTAAAAATGCACAAAATGCCTATAAAAATTGACAAAGTGAGAGCAGATAAATTCTAGGTAGCTAGTAGTAATGACATCAGCACCACATATCTGACATGGTGTACATGACTTACCGAATTTACAGGCTGGTAGAATAGTTCCATAAACTACAACCTACACTTGTTGGTAGACTAAATAACATATCTAACTGGTGAACAGTTGAAGTCATTATTCATGTAACAGCATACATGAAATTTATTTTTTCTGAATCTTTAACCAAATCCCCTTTTGTTCTCTTCCCTTAGTTTTTACTCATTAAGGCTACACAGTAGAGTTAAGAAGAGCTGAAAACTTTTCTTTTTACTATGTTCTCATATTCTCCTCACAGGCATGACAGGTTTGTCATATTTCCCCTTTCTACTGAGGCTGAGAGCCAGACTCTCAACAGCAGCCCTACTATCAATATTATATTAGCATGTATTTTGATTTCACCTATTGATGGCTCTTCTGAATTATACTCGACGTAAAGGGTGGTAGAAAACTGGTGGAAGAAAACTATTTAAAAAGTTGTCTATTAGAAGTTCTATTATGATTACATTACAGTTGAATTATGTCTTGATTCACTGTAACAAATGATCATTGGAAATCAAGATCTTTCCTCTAAGGAACTGGACAGTCCTTAGAATGCTAAAAGCTGGGAAGAATTATGTAGCTAAGGTCACAGGGACATCAGAATAAAGATATTAATGCTTAGCGCCCTGCTCAGACACTCGCTGTATGGAGCAGGACATGCAAAGCTCTGCTTACCCAAGCAGGTAACTCTCAACTATTTCAACATTTTATCTCCTGTTTTTGTTTTTTCTTATACATAAAGTTTTTATTCTGGAGTAATATCAGGTTTACAGAAAAGTTGCAAAGATAGTGTAGGAAGTTCCCATGTACATTTAACCCAGTTTCTCCAAATATTAATGCCTTACAGAACCACTGCACATTTCCTGAAACTAAGTTTAATACTGATGCATTAAGATTAAATGAATTCGATACTTAACATCCTTGCTTCTACTCTGAATATTTAAAAACAAATCTGACATCATGGTAGTTTATACATGACTTCTTCAGAACACACCTCTAAAGTATACAACTAACCTCCCTGTTGCCCCAAAAAAACTCTGTCAGATTATTCCTTTCTATTAAAAATTGCTGGTGTCTACTGGTAACAGTTAAAAGCCATTGACATATTCAAAAAGTAATGCTATCAAAGAATTTTGTCAAATTTTGTCACAACCATTGATATAAAGCATTAAATTTTTTTAAATTAAGACAAAACATGAGTTTCATGATACTGAATCACCTTGGAAGATGTTTAAAACTACTGAAAAGCATCATTAACAATATACTTAGCATGTCAATAAAAACTCCTAAAAGAGGACTAGAAAATAACATACATTTATCAAAACTGCGTTTTGATAGAAGAAAGTACCCTAGGAAAAAAATGGCTCACTGAAATTGCCCTTACCATAAAATTGTAGCAAACACAGTTAGTGAACCCAAGAACTAAACACATTTTCAGCAATTAGCCCACTTTTCATTAATAATATAAAAAACTCATGTTGTTTTCCTTTAGAATAAACACATGACACACAGTAAACTCCAACACAAGGCAATAAAAAAAATCAAGATGTGCTATGTACATGTACCAACTTCCCACAATGAATGCAATCATTACAGACTACAATCACTTACTAATTTAAAAAAATTTTTAAAACACCACATTTTTTGACAGTCATGAAAGTCTTCAATGTTCTAATTCTATCACATACTTAAAATATATATGTGAAATGCGTATCACTAGACAAGCAACATATGCAGCCAATGGAGAATAAAATTTATTTCTACTTTTTTAAAAAAAAGATTCCAAATTTCTCCATATGCTACCTAGTTCTTTACATCAAGTCCAAATCCAAGTCCACAGTTCATGATTACTTATTTGATAAATCTTGCATGTCTCTGTTTTCCTGAGAAACCACTCTAAAGATATCAATACATAATACAATAACCATTGTTAATTTCCTACCACTTTGTCTGTAACTCTGTATTGCTTGTATTGTTCTTATGCTGTTTTATAAGTGGATGTCTGTTTGTTAATATATTTTCCTTCTTTTATTTTTAAAATAAATTTTAAAAAATAAACAAATCCAAGTCCATCTCTACTACAATTGTTTCTAAGAAGTTTTACCCATTTTCTCAGTTGGATGCTCTCTTTCCCTCTAATATTCACTCTTTGAGAGCAGAAGGGACCCAGGAATGCTGAACAGTAAACCTTCCAGTGGGCACTTAGGGTTTTACTAAATTACTACACTAACAGTAGTGCTTCTCATTTTAGAAGTGTCTGTCTCTCTCCTATCTTATGCATCTTTCCTGAACCCTAAAATCTTAATCTAATCTCTCCTATCTTATTCATCTTTCCTGCACCCCTAAAATCTTAATCATCTGCATAATACAAAAAGTACATATTACCATATAGCACACACAAAATCGAACTCAGTAAATGACTTTAAAACTAAAGTAGGAAAACACATTTACAAATCATTTGCAATGACTCAAATACTTTGGATGAAAGAATACTAACACAGAAAATTCTGTTAAAGTTAACCAGCTAAGGGGGCTGGGGATTTAGCTCAGCGGCAAAGCGCCTGCCTGGCAAGCGCAAGGTCGTGAGTTCGGTTCCCGGTACCGGAGAAAAACCAAAAAAAAAAAAAAAAATAAAAAAAATAAAATAAAATAAAGTTAACCAGCTACTAATATCACAACACAAACATGGATAACATCAGCACATAAGCTATATGATTGGAATTATAACAAATAGAATGGCAAATGCAAAAACTCACCTGCTATCATTATGTGTAAGTCAGATGGGTAGGTGAATCATCTGACACTCAATTGTTAATGACCTCCCAATAAAATAATTAGGATGTAAGGTAATGGAAGCAATGACTTACCAGAGGTATAGGAAAATGTGTTGCATACTGCAGGTGACGGAGGAGGTCATAATTAGATGGAAAGATTAATTCCCTTGGTTTTTCCCTCTTTGTCAATTTCTCACCATTAATAGACATTCTTCTGCCCAAAGAGGGGTTGGCATTCTCACAGGACTCTCCAGGCATGGGAGAAAAAATCTACGTCATGTAAAACAAATGTTGGAAATTGTAAATGAAAGAAAACAAAACCAAGCCATAGTGTTACAAACTAGAACTTCTCACACACAAGATATTTGTACAATAATATCTTGTTCTACTTACCCGCTAGGCAAAAAATATGTAGAAATTTTGTTTTCATAAAATTCATATTCAGATCAGCAGCAATCTATCAGTATTATCTCACATTTGGATAACAGAAAATGAAACCCATATATGGATTTTTTAAAAATGTCTATACCACCCAAGGACCAGAGATAAAAGATATATAAGTAAATGTTTCCCTCATACGACTACATTCCTTCCAAAAACATACATGTAATGATAACTAATAAGACTAGCGAGTAACAAACATCAAGGTTTTGACCTGTACCCCAAACAACATGTTTTTATAAAGAAGTACACCCTAGGATTCATGAGAAACACATAATAAGCATCCTGAGATATAGTAGAAGAATGAAAGTACAAGTCTAGAGCTGAAAGCTCTTCTTTAGAAGCTCAAGACATACACAGCAAGTCAGCATGGACCGTCAAGATGAAACTATACTCATGTATTCTGAGAAACAATAATCTCAAAATGAATTAAAAGTCACAGTCAGCTAGGAGGACAAGCGCGTTATAATTGGCAAAGGAGACAATGTAACCAAAGTGGAGGATGAACTGAGGTTTTACAACTCTGGGAGATGACCGCTGTACCCCAGGGTGGGACATGGCAAATCACATTCACATCACAGGTGCACAGGTCATTCTGGTACATGGGGCAGAAAACAAAAGGACAGTGACAAAGTTGGGTGGGAGTGGGTGGGTTAAATGTCAATAAGAATTGAAGGTTGAACCTACTGGAAACTCCGAACCAAAGTCAGTTTTAAAGTCACTCTTGTCTACTTCATCAAAAATGTTAGTAGTTCCTGAGTCAATGCCCATATGCGCCATAATACTCTGTTCCTGATAATTGCCAGAGAAAGAAAGTCATGTTGTAAATTCTGTAGCTTAAGAAACTGAAGCTAAAAAGTAACAGTGAGGTTTTTCATCATCCTTACCCCATCTTTACCCACCCTTACCCCACCCTGCTTTTTTTCCACAGAAAAACAGAAGGAAGTTTTAACACATGCACTGCCTCAAAAAGTCACATTCCTTTCTCTCATGATGAGGGAAGCTTTAACTTTCACAGTATTTTAAGGAAATAACACACAAATTCCTGATTAAAAACAGAAAGGCTGTAATTTCCTTCTCTGAACCATTTGCTGTCACAAATTCAATATTCCTTAGCAAGAAAAGCCTAAAATTAAATCTAAGGGATAAGATTCGTAGACATCAAAGAATAGCAAAGGAGCAGCAGCTTAGAAAACACGTAGATCAGTAAAAAAACTTCCGTGTTAACCCTTAAAACCTCTGAAAAAAATTGAGAAGCAAAACTACTTATAATACAAAATAATCTTTAAAACTCATACACCTTTTGGAAAACAAATCTTGTAAGCATAAACTATGAATCTATGTTTGCAATTGTAGTGCTGAGCTTTTTCCTTTTTCTTGTTTTTTTACAAATATAGCTACTGTTTTAAATATCCTAATGATATATGAGTAAATGGTTTCAAAATCAGTATGAACTCTATTTTAAGGAATTGTTACAAATTGTTGTTACCACTTACAAACTTTAAGTATGTGGAACAACATACAAAATATCAGCACTTGGCATAAAACTGTACAATCATACTCAGAGCACAAAATAGTTTGTTGAAAAGAACAAGTCTACCATATTTGAGAAACTTTACATTTTCAATAACTCAGAATGAACATATAATGTGTCGTGGCTACCACTGAACTTCCCAGTATGTATGCAAGGGTGATATAAGAACGAATGTACATTCAGAAAAAAATGTTCCTTAGAATGAAAACTCAGCTAGTCTTTAGGGTCAAAACCATTTTGGTCTTGAGGATAACAGTGAAAGAAAACAGGAGGCTACAAAGATCTAAAACTAGAAGCATGTTAGTCTTATTAAATATTTACAACTGGTCAAATATTTTCATTAATAGTCTTATATAAAGGAAAATTCTGGAAGACAAATTATAGTCCAGATGTCCTTTCTGAGTGCAAAGTGGAGATAAAAGGACATTACAAAAAAGAACACAACTAAAAAGTCCATCTTCCATCTCCCAATACCCATCTGAAAGTGGCCCTAGGCACAGTTCTGCGTGAGGGGTGGGGCCTCACCCCAGGTTCATACCTCCATTTTTATATCGTGGTCCTTGGAATAGTGTTCGTCCACATTTTCCCCTGCTGGTGAGCGCGGCCCAGTGGAGGCAGTGACTGACAAGTCTCCTCGAGATATGAGCGTACACATGTAGGCATCGTGGGAGAAGACATCATGGCGGATGAACTCACAGAACAGCAGCACCAGGTTCACAAATTCCACCTTTTCACACTCACTGTTCGGATCCGCTGTGAAGCAGCAAATTCATCAGAAATTTCTTGACCTCACAGGAAAAACCACCAATTACTAAGGCTTAAAAACATTTTTACTACTTTTTATAGCTCACCTCATTTGTAAACATTTTATCGCAAGATTTACTGAGGCACCTGTGCCTTGTATAAAGCTAGCGGGCAAGTTTTGCTTGGCCAAATATAATTCAATGAGTACAAAATACAATTTCAGTTTTAATGGTAGTGGTCCCTGACAAATGAAAAGCTAAGCTATAACATAAACATAAAGCATGGCTAGTCCACCATCCTGTATTTTTACACTAAAACAGTTTGCAACCAGTTTTTATACGTTATGTATGTCTGCGTAGTTTGAGGGCAGATGTGTGCACTGTTTCAAAAACCCCTTCACCACAGAACCACAATTCAAATGGTATTTGAAAAAAAAATAGTAAGTGGGATTTACTGGAGAAGGGAAACTGGAATAAAAAGGGTATAAAGACGAAGCTATATCATCTTTTTCAGTTTTTTTACATTCATAATTGATCTATTTAACTCACATTATGAATTGTAATACTGTAAGCCTTATAGCTGTACCTTGAGTTTAGGCTAAAAAATCAGTTGAATTTTTGGTATGGTTAAAGCCCATACCTGGTACTACCGTGCTCACAAGTGCAAACAGCCCACGTTTCCTCTCGCCCAGCCACACTCAAGCATGAGCAGCCTCTCCACAGGGAAACAGCTCTTCTACAGACAGTAAACACCACACAGAACTAGCACAGGCATCGAAAGAGAGTTTTCCCCAACAAAGAATAGGAACAGGAATGGGAACAGGCAAACAAAAAGTACACGCGCACCTTCTCCGGATGCAAGGCAGCTTACAAGGTGTGACCAAAATGTATGCTAAGTGTTTAAATTTTAAAATGATTAAGGTAAAAGGCATACCGCCATAACTCTCCCTCAAAATACTGCCCCTCACTTCGAACACTCTTACTGCATTGTTCTTGCCACTTTCTCAAGCAGTTCTGGTAGTCTACTCTGACATCTTTACAAGGGACAATAAAAAATACAGGGAACACTATTGCTAAGTCCCATCCAACGGAAAGGTAGGTTTGTACAAACATTATGGTTTGTCCTCATGCACCACATTTGCCAGATCTTGCACTGTGAAAATCAAAGTGTCCTTTTGCCTCTTCTCCAAAGTCAAAATGGCCATGAAAGGGAAATATTTTTGAATTGCCTCAATACTTTCTATTTCACAAACATGTACCAATTTTAAAAAAAGATACTGTGCAGCCACAAAGGACACTCACAAAAGAGGACTTCTAGAATTATCAGAAATTAGAAAATAACTCAAAAAGTGAAAATTCCCATCACAATACACAGATAAATGTCACAGAACCTCAGTTTTCTATATTGCAGGAAGTAAGCTCAAGAAAGAGGAAACTAATACACCAAATACAAGGAAGTAAGGTGACTTAATTTTAAAATTATTACAATTGAGATTAAAGCACTTGAAGTTTGATTGAAGTTTTAAATTGCTTGAAAGTCTTCACTGAAAAAAAGGTACTAAATTTTTCCTAGTAAAATATACAGTATGTTCATTACCAAGAACTTCAGATAATTTTCTTTTTACTTTAAATAAATTGCAAATGGAAAAGAAACAAAAAGAATTCACTCAAAAGGATGAAGGAAGGAAGGAAGGAAGGCAGGAAGAAAGGGAGGAAGGTGAGGAGGGGAGGGGAGGGGAAGCAATTCCACAACTAGGAGCAGCAATCCTCCTTTACTTACACAATGAGGGAGCCTGTGTATCTAAAAACCTTAGCAGAACATTCTGGAAAACAGGCAAACCAGACCCAGCAAGAGAGGCTGAAGAAATAGACTCCTTTTCATCTAGGACTTCTGATTCACCACATCTCTACACATTAAAAATAAGCACAGTTAATTACAAATGATGAGTACAGTCACAGCAAGTCATGAATTTGTTAGTTTTGTATTAACTTTTGTGTTCACAGAAAAAGCATGTAAAATCAATTAAAATTTCGGTATTTAAAGACAATATATCATAGGCAAAAGGCTTCCAGAAGTTGGAGAAAACTATGCCAGAACAATTTAACTGACTTCAAAGAACACATGGGAAGCACGTTTTTCATGTGCACTGTAAACTGCAGAGCACTGGGAGAGTACAGAGCATAGAACAATAACCTATTCCTTGTGCCTATACCAAACTGCATGCTTAACCGTACGTTCCCTCAACTCTTTGGCATACAGTACTCAGTTTGATTCCTTAGTGTTTGTGAACTTTTGTCAATAGGGTGTATTTGCACTGTGTCTGGAGGTGCCAAGTGGAAAGCAAACATGATTCTTCTAATAAGAGTCTTTATTCATCAACTCACCAATGAGCTCTCCTAGGAACTCAGAATCTGCACGGTTTGGGAAATACATTCAGACAGGCTGTCTAACTTCTATATGCTTAAACACTGAATTTGCTCAAAGACTGAAAAACAGTTTGAAAGTAACCAGGATGTTCTTTACTATTTTTTATATCCTTTTGCTGTTTCTCACTTTCAATTATTCTTTAATATTGATATAAAAATGCTGCCTAGATTATTATGATACCATTTCTCTAATCCTTTATTTGCAAAGGTCTCATTTCAAGGATGATAGCACTTAATATAGCGCTTCTCAGCCTTTTGGCTAAGACCAAGTGAGAGCACTTAATAGAAATCGATAAAATGCCTCTGAGAGAATGCACTCTTAAATATGGATACAATTAAATCTATTAAAATTGGTAAGTAACCTGTATGTGAACTTTTTTTGAAAGTGGGAGTAAAAAGAACAATTTAGAAAGAGCAATAAAATATTTGAGAAATTCTTCAGTTGCTTCAGCTCCTAAAGTTTATTCTTTTTCAAGTCACCACAAAATAACCCATCGATTAATAATGTATAAAAAAGTATGAAATGTTCTTCCTAATTCGCACATTGTGCAATGGGTCGTTTTTTGTTTTTGTTTTTGTTTTTGTTTTTGTTTTTGAGACAGGGTCTTGCTATACAGTTTAAGCTGGTCTTGAGCTCACTTTTTAGCAAAGGCTGGTTTCCAACTCACAACAGTCCTCCTGCCTCAGCCTCCCGAGTGCTGGGATTACAGGTGGGCACCACCACACCCAACACAATGGGCCATTTGATTTTGGTTTTCATCATGCATTTTATTAAGACGTTGAACATTCTCAAAGGATTAATCCATATTTACATTTTTCTTTTATTTTTTTATTGGTATAATTTACATATACATAATGATCACAGGTATTATAGGGTATAATTTACATATACATAATGATCACATGTATTATAGGGAATCTACATAACATATCTTAATTCTTTTTCTTTCCTATCCTCCTCCTCTCCCTTTAACCACTCTTCCCCTCCTTACTTGCAAAAGCTTTGTTTCCATTTTATCCTTCTTTTCTCATTGTTTTCTTCCCCTTTCTTTTGTTTTCCCCTTCCCCTTTCCTAGTTCCCCTTCCTATTTAAATAATTTCTTCCTATTTCACAATAGCATCTATTACACATTTTGGTCCTTCTTTACGCTTTGTTTCTCACATCACAGAGACAATGCAGTATTTACACGTGTGTCCAAATTACTGCACTTAAGAATATGGCCTCAAGGTGCATCCATTTACCTAGAAATGTCTCAAGTGTATGCTTCTTTATGGCTGAGTAGTCATCCATTGTATAGAAAAACCACATCTTCTTTATCTATACATTAGGCGATGGGCATTTGGACTGTTTTCAAGATTTCGCTATTACAAACTTTGCTGCTATAAACATGGGTGTGCTTATATTGCTGTGGTATGATGCTTTAATTCTTTCAGGAAGATACCAAGAAGGGCAACAGCTGGGTCCAATGGGCCCTCTAGGCCTAGCTTTTGTTAAGACCTTAATTGGTATCTTCAACAATTTCAACAATGGGATCTTCTGTGCATGATGAATGAAGCTTTCCCAGTAGGACAACATCCATGCAAACATTCTTCTCGTTTAATTTTTAAATATGGTCATAGGAAGTTAGTGTACTGTGAGCAATGTGGAAAGCCAGCTAAGTTTGTCCATGTATACAACAAACATCTTCTGAGCATCTACGAGGCACTGAGGGCTAAACCGGGACAGAACTCTGACCAGGATGGGTACAGTTACTGTTGTCAAGTTCATATCTCGTGGGAAAAAGCAAGCATCAAACAATAAGCAAATTAACGAGCTTAATGTGCGGCGCAGTGAGGAAAGCAACACAGAGCAGTGTGACAAAGAGCAGCTGGTGCGCGGGTGCCATGAACCTCGGTGATGGAAGACCTTGCTGAGCAGGTGTTTCCTGTGCTGGGAAGGCTGCACAGCAAGTGGCCCTTCCTGCAATGAGAACGCCAGAGAGGCTGGCACGGGAAGACTGGGAGGCAGACTCTGTCACCGAGAAGGAACAGCAAAAGCTAAGTCCCCAAAATGAAGTGAGTGCTGTGTGGTAGAGGAGCAGAAAGACCAAGATTAGGGACAAAGCTGTGACCCAAGGAAGAAAGGTTCAGACGGGGCGGAAAAGCCAGGCAGGCCAGTCATGGCAGGCTCTGTGGCCTTGGTAATTCACTCCAAGGTGTTAGTGAAGGCATACTGTGTCCAGGCACCCTTCTCAGGGGTCAGTCTGGCAGCTGTGTAGAGAGTGACAGAGGCCAAGAGAAACAGTGGAGAGACAGAAGGGGAAGTCGTCCAGGGGAGAGGTGCTGAGGCGCCTGTCAGGCCACGCACACATTCCCTGTGTCACCTCTGCTACACTCACAGGCAGAGGCGAAGGCCCACCTGGAAATTTTTCCTTCAACAAAAGCTAATGTTGATGAAGTTAGCTTTCTTTTTTCCTTGATAATTTAAGTCTGAGGCTTTCACGGCCATCTCTGGGGCTGGACTATAAACTAAAAACTAACACAAACTGGCATCTATAACCTCATAATCAGAACTGCCTCAAGAAAGTATTTCCAAGCCCACTAAAATATAACATGGCTTTAAGTTTCAAAAGTAGATATACATTATATATGTTTGTCTGTGACAGTGTTTGTGGGGATTATGTGTGTTTCCACCTCACAAAACAAGATTTCTTTGTACTCAACCAGATGCTGTTTTATTTTTAAAGACACATTTCTTAGTCAAGAACACAAATTATTGGCTGTATCAATTTAGAGGGATCCTACTTAGGTGAATTTGTACGGCCCCCTCCTTCTCAAGAGAAAATGAAGAGCACAGTAAAGATAAAAATGTGGTCCTCAAACAGTCTCTTTCGACTACAGCATTCAAAAAGTAGAAAGAAGGTGGACCTACCTCTGCCTCGATTTCTGCTTGCCTCTTCTCCAAGAGTTTGGCCACTGCCATGGCCCTGTGCTTGCCCGACCTTTTGCAGCTCACAGCCCACTCACACAGCAGCGTCACCACAGCTTCATCGCTGGGGGCAACCTAATGACCAAGGGAGACAGGTATCAGCTGCACCAAATGGAATGTTCTCCTATGCAGCCCAGCCAGCATGGAGTACCTTCAGCTTCAAAGCTCTCCCCCTCCATTTTATTAAAGCACTTTTAGAGTGGGCTTCCAAATCATTTGGGCTGACAGGTAAATGAGAGTGAAAATGTAGTCATAAAGAAGGAAATCCCTTAGGAATCACAGTCACTGAACCTGTGACAATTCTTAGGGAATTTATTTTCTTGTAGATGACTTCATTTCCACAGAGTTAAAGCCTTGTCCCTTCAGTCCTCTAGAATTCAATTTCAAATCTAAAAAGAAAGGGGAAATGACCACTCACCACCAAAAACAGCTGTCACATAGTAAGCGCAAGTACTGCCCTCAACTGCCAGCACCAGGACCCAATCAGGGCCTCCTGCACACGTGATACTATCAGGCTGGGTGATCAAATGACTCCGTTCAGTAAGAAATTACCAAGAAGAGGAGGGGTCTGGAAGGCTGGTAAAGACTCATTCTATCAGACACAACAAGCATGGAAGATCAAAGAGAACAAATAATTAAAAGCACACATAGTAAAAAACGTACACTGGGTCTTTGTAGGCCTCGTCATGGTGCCCAAACCATTGGCCGGATAATGGGCTGCAACAACTGAGAATGAGGGGCCTCCAGAGACACGAATCGCGGCGCAGCACAGATGGGGAAAATGATGCCAGAGAGCCTGTGCTTCCCTGTCGCCTGCCCTTTTCCTTCAGAGTACCCCTGCCAAGGAATGCAGTTTCAACTGCTAAGTTTCAAGACTTTTCCACCGCATAAACATTGTAATAGGCAAGTGGATCACCGCAGTTATCAGCTCCCTATACACCACGTGAAAAATCCTTAGCATCTGAAAGTTCATTCTTAGCATTAAAGTCCAAATAAGATTATGACACCCTATGAGTACGCTCTGTGAGAGAACACACACACACACACACACATTTAGCCCAACATTTAAGGTTTGTGACCCTGAGAAGTCATCTAAAACAGCCAGTATAGCCGGGTATGGTGGCACACACCTCTAATGCCTGCACTCAGGAAGCTGAGGCAAAAGGATCAATGGGAGTTCGAGGCCAGTTTGGGCTACAAAGTAAGTTCAAGACCGCCTGAAATGCCGAGTGAAGCCTTGTCTCAAAAAGATAGATAGATAGATAGATAGATAGAGAGATAGATAGATAGATAGACAGATAGAAAAACGAACAGTGTAAGAAACCATGATCAGTTTTAGATACTAGCCAATAATTCAGACCATGAAAATCTGTTTATTACAAGATTGTTACTCATCCTAATCCCAAATACAATGATTTAAATACATGCTGACTCAAAACAAAAAAAATAAATAAAACAAAAATTCTGGGACAGATCTCAAAAGGGTATTCTCATTCTCTTAATACAAGGGGAAACAGTTCAATTAAAAATAATAAATTTGAGCATGACATCAAAAAGAAAGCAAACCACAAAGACTTTCTACCTGGATTCAAACTTTCCCACAGAAAAATAGAACAATCAAGTACTTGTTACAAAGTTCAAGTACTTCACTCTAGGTACCCACAGACCTGACAGTTTATTTTTTTAAATTTCTTTCACACTAAAAGTATTATATTAGATTTAACGTGGATTAAAATAATAAGGCATAAATTTACCAAATGAACTACAACAAAAGAGAGATTTAAAACAATTCACATGGGGGCTGGGGATTTAGCTCAGTGGCACAGTGCCTGGCTGGCAAGGCGCTGAGTGAGTTCGATTCCCGGTACCGTAAAAAAAAACCAAAAAAACTAAATAAATCCAACAATTCACATGATCATAAGCCCTTCTAAAGCCAAACAATAGCTAGTGTGTCCACACCATCTCTCTGGGAAATATAAATGCATATAAACTCATTACATGCAACACTCTGAGGATCCACAAATTCAGCAATGTGTGCGCTCAAAATAGAAACAATGCCAAAAAAGGAGAAAGACAGCAAATCTAACCTGAGTGCCTGGAATGGGCATGAATGTTAGATGCCGTAAAACAGCAAGGCACATTCATCACTCAAAATCCTCAAGAGCCTAGAACCAAATCCTGAGGCCAGCTTTACACAGCTGTGTAATAAAGGGGCCATCCTAGAAAAGTTTCCCGGGGAATGTGGCCATGAAATGTACCTTTGGAAAGTCACTCTTTGCTTTTGTTTTTAAACCAAGGTCTCACTATATAGTTCAGGCTAGCCTCTAACTCACAGAGATCCTCCTGCCCTCAGCCTCCCTAGTGCTGGGATTCCAGGCATGTGCCACCATACCTGGGTGAGTCACACTTTTAACACTGCTTTTATCCAGATGGAGGGAGTACAGGAGATTTTTCATTTTTGCTTTTATAATGTAAAAGAAAAAAATATTTTGTAAAAAGAAAAACATACACTGGTCTTGAAAGAAAAATACAAGATTTTTGACACACAGAAAGTAACGAACAGAAGAGGCCTATCTAAATATAGTGGAAATCAAATACAGTCCTGCCGCCTTGGGTATAATATTATAACCTCCACTCACATGACTGAGGGCCACACCTTGCATCCCATCTTATTTACACAGGCAACCTGGTAGACACCTGAAAGCAGTTGCCACTCCAACTATGGTAGGAAGCCAAGGCCAGCTCTCAACCTGGAGCCCATTACCTCCCCTACCCTACTGCAGCCCAGATCGCTGTCATCAGCCCCAGGATATCTTATGCTGTCCCACTGCACTGAAACCCAACTGATCCCCAACTACACTCACCTCTGCTTCAAATCCCTTTCCTGTCCTTGGTACTTTCTCCAAGGAAATGGTACCACTGTTCAGGCCAGAATGGCGTCACCTCCCGCAGAAACTACTCTAGCTACACTGCAGTCCCTCGAGCACACCAAGTCCATCCCCACACTGGGCCTCGGTGGGCTGCTCCTTTCCCCTCGCCTGCTGGCTTTTGTCTTCTCCGCACTGAGTCTTGGGGATTCACTGGGCATAATTTGACTGTCTGCATTGCCTCACTACGGTGGCACTAAGCACCACGAAGTGAGGCGGGGATTTCCCCGCTGCTGTCCCCTCAGCGCCTGCACAAATGGTAATCACACGAACCACTGCGCATGAGGCATCAGGTGAAAATACCAGGAAAAGCGCCACTCACAGGTTCCCTTCCAAGAAAACCTATGCAGAGCTGTTTTGTAATTAAAATATAAAAACAACTTATTCTAATTTAAGACAAATACTGTTACAGCACGACTATGGAGTGACTGTTACAGCATAAATCCAACAGCAGTCCCATTGCACCTTAGAAAGCAAACTAAAAAGCACTGTTATAACTCATAAACACTCACATTCCTTTTCCAATCAGCTTTTTTCTAATCTCTAAAATGTTTCTGGACATGCAAGGACAACATTCAGACACTTCCATGCTCCTAAATTCATACACCCTCACTCCTTTAGGGGTGCTGTCATCCAAAGCAACTCACGTATTTTGTAAAAGCACAAGTTTTATCTAGTTACATTACAGTGTTCTTCCTTTCACTTATTCCGTTAAGTTAAGGCAAGGCCACAATGCTACATTAAAGTTAGCAAAATTATTCTTTGGGGACCTGCTGGAAAGTATTATTATAGTTATTTATATAGAAGTGTTAATGATGAGCTGAATCACATCATCTTCCAATTTGGCTTCTACATTTTTAAATATGCTTGAGTAATAAAAATTCCCAAATGTGACTTGTAGCAAGTGAAGAGCTTTCATACTGAAGAAAAAAATACATATTTTCAGAACATTCACAGTACAACATCCTTGTATGGTGATTCATAGATGAACCCTAAGAACACTAGGTATGGTGGTATATGCCTGTATTTCCAGCACTTGGGAGGCTGAGGCAGGAGGAGGCCACAAGTTCAAGACCAGCCTGGGGAACACAGTGAGTTCAAGGCCAGACTGAACTACATAGTGAGACCCTGTGTCAAAATAACACAAACTGAAAAAATAAAAAAAATTAAAAATTAAAAAAAAATCTGTGAGAAAATAGTTTTTTTAGAAGGAAATGAATAAAGAACTTTTCAAAGTAAAATCATTCAATTTCAAGTCAACTCGAAAAAATTTTTCTTAAAGAAAGTTAAAGTTAAATATTGAAAAAATAACTTACTGGAGAAATTGGTTGATATTCTGGAATAAAAGGGACAGTTGCTTACTTTTTTAACAATGCAGTCAAATGAACCAAACCTTGTCTCCCTCTGTCTCTGAGTTTTCAGCACAGAAAGAAATTAAATTTATAAAACAACTATTGGAATTCCCAATCTACACTGAAGGGTTTGGGACCTTCCTAGTTTACTGAAACAGATTCACTTAAATCCAATGAATATAAAAAAGAGCACACTGTCTTTCAGTGATTTGGCCCATCCAACATATACGCATTCCAGCAAAGACTTTCTTGGAACATATCCAAGTATGGCCACGCATTTGAGGTAACATAACCAAAAACAAGTCCCAGGAAAAAGTCAGTTCCTGTCCAAAAGCGTCCTGTAAAGGCTTTGAGTACCCATGACACAAGGTACTGAGAAAACAAACATTTAAAAAATCTAGTCCTCATTCTCAAAAAGCTCACCTTCTAGACAGAAAACCATAGGTAACCGTAAAGCAAGGAAACATTTCAATCATGTGGAGGAAGAAGCATCTGAGCCTAGGAACCGAATGACGCCCCTGGTGCCCCACAGGACACGAACCCACTGACTAACATCTGTGCTCTGAACTCACAGAGAGGCCTGCAGTCTACCTGCTATAGTTGTCATCTCAGTTGCTGGTAATTAGGAATTAGGTAAATTTAGAAAATCATTAACACACTGAAAACAATCCTACAGGAATAAAGTATTTTTTTCTTTTTTTGTTTTAAAGAGAATAATAATGAAAATGAAAGCAAATACAATTTCAAAACAAGATGATAGGAAATTAACTAGTTATTATATTGCATACTCTTGTCT